TTTCAAATGCTTAAGTTCACAAATAGGGATGCACTGACTTTTCAAGTTGGATTACTACAACAGCATCAAACCTGATGTCTATGGCCGCATTCACTCCCCCATAAGCACATAAGTACAAGATTAGTTTCCCCAAAGCAACAGTTCCATCATCCATCTCAGTTTTCTGTGACCTTTTCTCCCTTTTCTACACAGTCAGTTCAGTTTAGTAGCAATTTATTTTGCTGATACCAAGTTCATGACACTGTGTTAGGTACTTTGTGCACTGTGAAGACAAGAAAGACTAAATCTTTGCTCTCAAGGACACTGTTTCAAGCTTGTTTGACTGCTATTAGATTGTCTGTGACTTGACTCAACCTTTTTCAGTTAATATTTCTTGAGTCCTTACTCTGCAAGACAATTCCTCTTCAAATAACTTAATGAGATGGATACTATGTTCTCCATTTTATAGATGAAAAAGTGAGAACAGAGAAGAAACCTGCCCAGGCTAATACGTGGTGCCTTTGCTCATGTTCTTCCTACTCTGTATCCAGCCTTTATGTTAAGGTTCATTAGCTCGGTTTATAGAGGTTCCTCCCAGATTTCTTTCGGCTATTTTCCAAATTTATAGCACTTGCTGTTTCTGACTCTCTAGACATTTAATCATGATGTCCTTAATAATAATTCTTGAATTGTTGCATTTATTATTTAAATCTTACATTGTTTCCGAAAAATTTAAAAGGTTCTTTTATGTTGTTTCCCTCGTGACATTAAATAGAAGAATGTCCGTATAAAGTAAGCAGTAATTAAAATACTGCTTTTTTCATCATTCTTTTGCCTTCCAAAAAGATGCTAAGCTCTTTGAGGGGAGAAACTGCATCTTATGATTTGTATTTGTCACAACTCCATACAGTTCATTTGACTTCTATGAGTCGGAATCAAATCGATGGCAACAGGGTAGTGTTTAATGGGTATGGAGTTCTGCCCTTTATTTTATTTTAGCTCTTCAGTTTCTTCAGGGTGCTGTGTACTCAAATGTGGCCTGAATTGGTTACAGAACATTAGTTACACTGTCCTAGGTGCTGACAAATGGATGAACATAGCAGACCCAGTCTCTGCCTTTGTGACTTTATGTCTTGAAGGTCAGCCAGACAAATGTTACAGATAAATAGGCTATACGTTGGATGTTCATGAGTGCAAATTTAAAAAAAAAAAAAAAAGGCATGAAAAGAGTCGGGAGAGTCCTAGGGTGGGGAGGGGAGTGTGTGGTGATAATTTACAAAGGATGGTAAAGAAAGGCCTTACAGATAAAGTAACATTTTACCAGAGATGATTCAAGACACAGGGACTTGTATAACTGCAAAGGCCCTGAGGCAGGAACAGGCTTAGCATGTACGTACAGCAAAGAGGCCAGTATGCCTGGAGCAGATTGAGAGGGACAGTACTAGGAAAGCAATCAGAGAGAAAGGTTGGAGTCAGATCATGGAGGACCATGCAGGCCTTGATACCAAAAACTCATTGCTGTCAAGTGAGTTCTGACCCATAGCGACCCCTGTAGTACGGGGTAGAACTGCCCTGTAGGGTTTCCAAAACTGTCTACGAAAGCAGACTGCCAAATCTTCTTTGGCAGAGCAGCTGGTGGGTTCTAACCACCAGCCTTTCAGTTAGCAGCTGAGCACTTTAACCACTGAGCCACCAGGACTCTGTGATAAGGATTTCAATTCTTAATGAGAAGGGGAGCCATTGTTGTGTTCTGACTGAGGAGTGATGTGTTTGCATGTCGTCCAACAATTTTAAAGGCTGTCTGTATTTAAAGCATTGTGCTAGAAACTGTCAAGATATTAGAAAGATAATCTTGATTTCTAGAGGCATGTTATGTAGTGAAGATGAATTGTTAACAAGTAATTATAATAAACAACGAAAACCAAACCCATTGCCGTTGAGTTGATTCTGACTCATACCGACCCTATAGGACAGAGTAGAACTGCCGCATAGTTTCCAAGGAGCAGCTGGTAGATTCAAACTGCCAACCTTTTGGTTAACAGCCAAGCTTTTAACTACTGTGCCACCTGGGCTCCATTTATAATAAAAGCATAAGTGAAATAAGTGCTGCAATGTAGGTAAAAAGCAGACCTCTAAGAGCAGAAGAGAAGGAGCAGTTTTATTTGAAAAAAGTAGGGAAGAGTTGCGGAGCTCTAGTGGTGCAGTGGTTAAGAGCTGGTCTGCTAACGGAAAGGTCAGCAGTTCAAATCCACCAGCTGCTCCTTGGAAAACCTATGGGACAGTTCCGCTCTGCCCTATAAGGTTGCTGTGAGTTGGAATTGACTTGACTGCAATGGGTTCAGGGAAGAGTTGCAGGATACTGAATGCAGGAAATCCCTCAGCATCCTTTTCTAGGTCAAAATTGAGCAAGCTTCTTATAAAAGTGTTAACTGTAGTAAAGGAATTTATTTGCGTATCACTTTAGCTTCTCCGGCACGCCCTTTATGAAGAGCGTAAGATGAATATGTTGTTGTTAAAAGCCGTTTAAACCGTAACTCTACTTGTAGGAATGAAGTAACAAAAATATTTCCTTTCAAGTAGCTGAAAGATCGCTTGGTCTTGCAATTTTAAAATAGTATCTTTAGATTGCATGCGTTTTTCTATCCATCTTAGTAAAATGTGAGAAAGTTATGATAAAGTGTGTTTTTAAGTACTCTGAAAGATAAATGTAGAGTATTTCATGCCCTTAAGCTCACTACAGATGGTATTTGCAAGCTTCATTACTTTTACAGTCTTAATGTATAAATTAATTTAGAATGTTCTTTGAAATATAAATGTGTTGTTTGTGTAAAACTTATTTGCTTAACAAAATAATTGTTTAACCTTTATCTCAGAGATGCAGTCACCAGTGACAAGAAAGTACCAAATTGCTTTTTGAAGATGTCATCCTTCTTGGCTCTAGTCCCAGCCTAGGTGAAGTCCCTCCACTGGACAGCTCTGGGTCTCACCTCCCCCTCCTGAAAATTTCTATCAGAGGGCCCTTCGTCCTCTGAGTTTGCTGACACTTCTCTGAGGGCCACCAAACAGCCAGCCACTCTACCTTGACTGCTCCTCCTGGGTTTGCCTCTTCACTCAGTCTTAGTGGTCTTCCTGGGTGTCTTGCTGGTGGGAACTCTAGGAGTTCCCTCCTTTCCTCCTCAGCCCACAACCAACAATTAGGTGTCAGATTTGCTTCCCCCAGCAAGTCTTTATATGCCGTTGCTAACCCTGAAGTGATCATTTTATTGCCTCACTTTTTCTCCTGTAACCAATACTCAGTGGATCCTTTGTTTTATAATGCAAAATCCAAAATAGAGTACTTTAAATTTTTAAAAATTGAGATATAATTCACATACCATTAGAAAACACCCTTTTAAAGCATACAGTTAAGTGGTTTTTAGTATATTCACAGAAGGTTGTGCAGCGATCACCACTACCTAATTCCAGAACATTTCCATCAGTCCAAAAAGAAACCCCTGTACCCATTAGCGCTCACTCCCCATCCTCCCTTCTCCCAGTCCCTGGCAACCACTAATCTACTTTCAGTCTCTACAGATTTGCCTATTCTGGACATTTCATACGAATGGAACCATATTATATAATGATATGACCTTCTCTGTCTGGCTTCTTTCACTTAGCATAATGTTTTTAGGATTTAGTCATCTGTAGCATGTACCAGTGCTTCATTCATTTTTATGGCTGAATAATATTCCATTGTATAGATATACTCCATTTTGTTTATTCATTCATCAGCTGATGGACAATTGAATTGTTTACATTTTTCGGCTATTGTGAATTATGCTGCTGTGAACATTGATGTGCAGATTTTGTGTGGACATGTTTCAGTTTGTCTCATCTTCTTGGCACTTTTTTAATTATTTTGTAAGCTGGGCTTCTATCCTTGCCTACAGAGGAGTCTGCTTCTCCTTCCAGATCATTAGCAGCTGCATCCTCATACTGTGCCTTTACTCACTCTCAGTAGACTGGGATATCGTTTCTCCAAGAACCACTTTTGGGGACAGTGTGAATGCTTGGAAGGAGTAGGGAAGGGACTAGTTAAATCCTCTGAGGTTGTTGGATTTAAATATCCAGGAAAAGGTCTTCTGTTTACTTTTCCTATAGTACAGGCAGCTGGGAGAACTTTGGGTGGGGAGAGGTCTCGCTACCAAATCCTTGCTCTGCTAAGCAAAGTTGCAGTTCCTTCCACAGTACTGGATGGAGTGCAGTTAAAATCCTTGCATAAAGTTGATTTTTGTAAGTAATAATAATGATGTAGCTGTGTAGATTTGGTCTTTTGAATGGAGTTTTTTTATACAGAAGTTGTTGCATTTTATTAGGGTAGACTTCTGGGAAGTGCTTAGTAAATACCTGAATAGTTAAATACAATAGCAGGAACACATTTTGCAACACTCAAGATAATATTTTGTTGGTCAAGTGACTAAAAATGCTAAAGTGAGAGCAAGGGTGGGTCAGACATTGTGTAGTCAAGCTTTGAATTATTATGTACACCAATTGCTACCTCATCTCATTAAATTTTCCCAAAAGAGCACCAAGAAACCCATTTCCAGTGGTTTAATGAGAGCTTGCTTTGTTTCTTGTTTTAAACTATCCATTCGTCAACTTTGTACTTCTGGCAGGAATGAGAGGCAAGAAGTAGGTAACACCAGAATCCCATTTTACAGATGAAGAAATTGAGAGGCTGGTGGGACTATTTGATTGTTGCTGGGGTTTCTTCACTTCAGACATTGACTTTCCATGCTTTTGAAGTACTTGTCTTGCCTAATTAGCTTGCGAATTGTAAACATTCCTCAAATAAGAAGAATAAATTGCTTGAGAAAACTGAAAGGATACTATGAAGAATTTTATTTATTGACAGTGTAAACCAAACCAAGTGGGATTAATTCTACTGCTATATGATGAAGCTTTAAACCTTTGCTATTTAGAATTTTGCAGAATAAAATCTAAAGTTTGTTTTAATACTTTGTAATTTTGTTTTGTTTCAGTGAAAAGTGTAAGGCTAGAGGATTTACTGTGATAGTGGATGGCAGAAAATCACAGTGGAATGTGGTGAAAACAGTAGTCTTAATGCTACAGGTAATTTTACTTTTGACTATCAGGAAATGGTTTTATTTTACAGCAACAGATCATGGTGGTACTGGCAAACCCATTTCATTCGCAGTACTGTGCCCAAGCTCAGCAGTGACAGAATTCTAAAAATGCACATATCACTATCAAACTGTGATTCAGTTAGATTAAATTCAGTTTAGATTCAATTCTTTAAAATTTAGAATTTAAGTAGTAAAATGAATGAATTTCAACCCTCTTCTAAAGGCTTTTAAGTGATCTAAAATAATATGTCATGCTTACATAATTTAAGTAAGTAGGCCAGTGATTCTAAAAGGATCGGGTATACATGATCAGACTCACCTGGGGAGTTTTGCATGCTGTGATACCTATACCATCTTCCCTTCTCCATCTCATCCTGATACTGTAGGTAGAGAGTAGAACTAGTTACGTGTAGGTGAAAAAACTTCTCAGGTGATTTCTGACATACTTCTCCTTCCATTCCCTGCTTTCCTCCAAAAAAACACACCAGAATTCATGATGACTATAATTCAGAAGGAATTTACTTAATGACTGTGTCCTCAGGAACTTTAACAGCACACAAATTAACATTTAATAAACACCTACCATTATAAAATCTTTGAGATCTGATCCCAGTTTTCTGTTTTATATTTCTTGTATTCTTCACAGAATATTTCCATGATGCCTTGCATGTAGTAGGTATCCACTAAACCCTTGTTGATTTAATGTAAGAGTATTGAGAACATTATGATCTGATATGGAAAAATAAAACATCTGAGCAGTTGAAAGGGGGAGGTGGATTGCTCTCATGCACCTGGGTTCCCTTGAAAGGGCTTCTAGAGAAAGTAAATTTTAAGTGATTAAACAAAATAGATTATATAATTTAAATGAAAGAAAGTGAGAAAGGGTTTCCTGGCAGGAACACTGATTTAGTGATGGTGCAGAAATGAAGGCAATACAATGAAGTGAGTTGATGGAAGGCCAGGGAAAATACAAGTTGTCAGTAACATGAACATTCACTAAGTTAATTGTCAGTGATATTAAAAGAAAGATCAAGAATTTTAAATGAATTTGAGAAGAAATTGGTGCTGCTTTAGGGTTCTATGGAAAGGGATATAATTAAAAATTTCAAATGATGCCTAAGGAGAATAATGCTTAATGCTTTATCTTTTATTTAGGATAATTAGGAAAAAGGGGGTAAAAGGGGTGGGAATAAGGTGGTAATTTTAGTTTTAGTGTTTGATATGGTTCAGGTACTGAGCTAAGCTTGCTATATAAATTATCTCATTTAGTTTTATCCTCACATCCTCGTAAAGCAGGTTCTGTTATCCCCAAAGGTCAACACAGGCGCGAGGATTTTAAATCTTATCCAGGCTCTCCTAATGAATGTGGGGAGGATCAGGATTGGAACTCAGTATACCCTACCTCCTAGGCCATGGCTTTTGCCATTATAGCATGTATGTTTACCAGCCAGATGTACATCTGAGGTGGTCCCCAGTTATCTACCTATTGCCTCATTCGTCTTAAGTTTGTGGCCTAAATATTCCATCTGTTAAACCCTTCTTTTGCATTAGAAAGGACATAGCCTCTGGAGGACCACTTTTTAAGCATAGGTTGGTGTTTTATAATAACTTTTTCTGTCAAATATATTTTCAGTACTTTTATATTCCAAACCCTGAAGATTAACTCTTTTCTGTAAAGGTTGTTAAAATAACTATTAGGTGAGAAATCCATTAATTATCACCTTGTGTTCTTCCTTCCATCCTGTCATTCAATTGTGTCACAGATGAGCTGTTTGGGACTTGCTGTTTGAACTGGACTTTGATCAGTGGCAGTTTTGAAGAACAATCAATGGATGGTTTAATCCTCTCTTGCAATTTCTTTTCTGATAGGTATTTTAACAACTTTTGGATTTATTAATAACGTTTTCAGCAAGTTGCAATGACCTGTTGTTTACTCCTAGTCAAACAGTGCTTCCACCTACAAAGTCATTCATTGCTTTCATCTCAAAAAGGACCAGTACTACACGTTTGGGAGCCCTGATTTTGAAATAGTAAATTTAAAATGTAATACTAGTTGAATTTTTATAAAAATCTTCCACAGTTCAATATTTGAACACATCTTGGATCTACCCTAAATTTCCCAGACCGGAATTTATTCTGTTATCTTTATTACAACCCTATACAAAGTCATTGCAGGGTCACCAGATTTCTGACAAACCTAATGACATGTTTATATCCTAAGGTTTTATATTTTCTCCCAATTAATGATGTTGGTAATGATAACTGCTGATAATTATTTAGTGGTGCCATTTATGATCTAGAGCAATGATTGGTCCCTTGAGTTTATAAATAAAATTTTATTGGAGCATAAGTATGCCCATTTAATTTGCTTATTGTCTGTGGCTACTTTCACACTATAATGCAGAGACTGTATGGCCCACAAAGTCTAGAATATTTACTAACTGAGCCCTTCAGAAAAAGATTGGCAAGCCTTGGTTTAGAATATATGAAGTGGCAGGACTTCGGGTCAGACAGACCTGGTTTCCACTCCAGCTCCATCATTTTTTAGCTCTGTGATCTTGGACAAGTAATTTTAATTCTCTGAAACTCAACTTACTCTTCTGTAAAACTGGGAGAATGAGATCCACTTGTTATTGAGGACTCATTTATTCAACAAATACTTGTAAAGCATCTTCTGTATTCCAGGCATAGGCATAGATAGGCACTGGAGATGTCAGAGTGACATGCACCTGCCATTGGAAGTTTATATTCTACTTGAGGAGTAGGACAATAAGCAATTAAAGCAAATTATTACATAATGTGATATTACATAGTGATAAATGCTATGAAGAGAAATAGAGCAGTAAAAGGAGACTGAGTCAGATGGTGCTATTTTTGATAGGGTGACCAGGGAAGACCTTGCTGAAGACGAGATACTTGAGTAGAATCCTAAACAAAGTGAGGGAGCAATCCTTTTAGGTATAGGGCAAAGAACGTTCCAGACAGAGGCAAGGGCACAATGTACTAGGAAGAGAGTGGTGTGAAATGACGGGACCTGAGCTTGGAGAGCCTCGTAGGCCTTGGTAACAGGTTTGAATTTTTTCTGGGTGCAAGAGGACATCAAACAGGGAGACTGTTTAAGAGGTTATTTCAGAAGACTGGCTACTTTGGGGCTGTTAGCAATCCAGGTGGTAGAAATGGTTAGATTTAAGATATATGTTGAAGATAGACTCTACAGGACTTGCTGATAAAATATTCGTGAAATATTTTTTAACTCAATAAATGTTAATTTCCATTCTTCTTTAGGTAATATGACTAACCATAATTAGTAAACGTAAAATTGTATTTGTCAAAGATTAGCTCCTTCAAGGATGCCCTTTATCACCACACCTATTTAACATTGTGCTGGAAGTTCTAGCTAGAGCAATAAGGCAAGAAAAAGAAATAAAGGGCATCCAAATTGGTAATGAAGAAGTTAAAC